TATCGTTAATTCAAAATATATCTAATAGTAGAGTTTCAATGCTCGCAGAAGTCGCTTAAAACAGATTTTCGTTTACACTTTATTGCTAAAATTTAAGGATTACTTTTTGTCATTTCTAATACCCTAACAAATCTAACAATGCAAAATCAACATGTCGTCCAAAAATCGTACGGTCCAGGAAGTGGTGGGGGTGGATTTTGCAAAAAATTATCAAAACAACCTTCATAATGCTTTCTTATGGAGTTCCTTAATGAATAAACGCTTGTCCTGAAAACTCATTTTTATGTTATCGTTCACCTCGTTGTTAGTTGAAAACCATTTGGTTTATCAAAAAATCGTCTTCTATAAACGTTATGCATTGAAGATCAGGGAAAACATTAGCTTTTTTAAAATTCTAATCGGATGGATAGTTTTTTTTAAAATTAACAAATTGTGAAGTCATGTCGTGAATACCGCTGTCGTCAGCGAAGCTGCGAGGAAAGTTTATATTTGCGTGGGCTGTCAGGCAATAAACGACCTAGTGGTTCCGAGGTGCGGTTAGGATCGTTTTCGCGCGACATGGGATGTAGGGTCGCTAAAAAACATTGTTTTAGTGTTTTAATGTAATGTTTTTTTCTATGTCCGGATTTTAAAGTGTCTTAGTACCAATTAATGATAGTTCTGTTTAAGTTTATGGTGAAGTTGGATAGTTTTTAACCCTGATTGCTTTTTTGTGTGTTTCACTAATAGTTTGTGTGGCTTTTGACTAATATAATATAAATTTTGGGGTAAAAAAGTTTAATATTATTGTTATGTTTTTATTTAAATATTTTTTATAGATTTACTTGAATGCAGTACCAGTACCGATAGCGAAGTCGAGTCGACTCACTTCCTACAAAGCAAAATACTCTAAAATTAGTCCTGGTGTTCTTCTGCCGAATTCAATTCAAAAACTACCATTACGAACAATAATTCCATATGCGTATTTTGCCAAAAATATCTCACTCCAGAATGGGCGAACAAGTTATTTAGTGAATTGGAGAAGGGTTTCCAAAAAGGAGAAGGTTATTCCACATCAGTAAGTATGTAAAAGATATCGCAAAATTAGCGGAGAAGTAGATTCAAGCGACCTACTTTTAGTTAAAAAAGTTGAAGATAAGTTTGGCGACCATATTGAATTAATAGAAACTGCCGAATTGAAATATTTGAATATAGTATGTAATTGATTACAAAAAGTATATTCCAAATAATTATTATGATTTTTTGATGTCTCCTCATAATAATAAGCAACTCATGTTATGACAAAAAAGAATCTGAAGTACTCAATATTGGCCAAGATATCATTTTTGCATGTTCAATTGGAAAAAAGTATACCCTTTTAGGCCCTTTAGGTTTGGAACTATTGGTCCATCAGGAAACCAGGTCAAAAAAACTTGTTGAAGCAATACACGCTTGTGGTCACTCGATATCTTACACTGATACTCAAGAGTACTTAATAGCATTGCCCAAGAAGAAATTCAATCTTTGATTTTACTTAGAAAATACTCATGTAACAATCCCTAGCCAATTATGGTATCCTTAGATTTGTTCAGTTTGCTGCAGATAATATTGATGGAAGAAACTTTAGACAAAGTACAATTTCACGGAACCCAAATGGCAGCAATTCAAAGAGTCCAATAAATGAAACCAAACCTGGAAACTTCAAATTTCTGACTTATAATTTAAAAGTCACTATTCTCAATGAGTTTCATTCAATTGAAAAAATATACTATATCAAGTCTAATAGAGTAGGAGAAAATCGGAATATTATTACAGAAGAAGGTCAAAGTCTTGGTTATGACCTCGGTTATGACTTTACATATCAAAATAGGGCTTGGATAATTTTGCATTGGTTAGGATTTCACAAGTTTTTTGAGCATAATTTCATGTATCATCATACAAACCTATATGGATATTTATCTTGGTTAGGTACCTCATATATGTCTCAGATAATTATACAGTTTGAACCGTCATCATAAGATGTTATTATGAACTTTTCAAAAATCATTGGACAATTTATGGCAAGTTCAGGCATTTCTGATGGAGAGTGGGCTCTATATAAACAATCTACTGTTGATAAGGTTTTAGGATAAAAAAAAATTAATACAGCAATACGAGCCGCTATGTTAACGTATGAAAGCTTCATGAGAACATTGATTCCTACAATAAATGGCTAATTGAGTGCGAAAGTCCCTCTAAATACACATAATTATTAGCTAAAAACTGATTTATAAAAAGGCCAAAGTAGTTTAGTTCTTGATCCTGATAATATTATAACATAATAGGCATTCAAGATTCCCTAATTATACTCTATAATCGCAGCAGAAGAGGCCTGCAAGCGAAAATAGTCCTAAGCGCACGTCCGAACCACTAGGTCGTTTATTGCCTGACAGCCCACGCAAATATAAACCTTCCTCGCAGCTTCGCTGTTGGCAGCGGTATTCGCGACAGGACTTCACAATTTGCTAATTTAAAAAAAAAAACTATCCATTGGATTAGGATTTTGAAAAAACTTATGTATTCCCTGATCTTCAAAGCATAACGTTTATAGAAGGCGGTTTTTTTGATAAACCAAATGGTTTTCAACTAAAAACGAGGTGAACGATAACATAAAAATGAGTTTTCAGGACAAGCGTTTATTCGTTAAGGAACTCCATAAGAATGCATTATGAAGGTTGATTTAAAAATTGAAAAAAAATAGTTGCCAATGAAAATATTGAAATCTGATTTTGTCAATTTAATGGCCGTGTGTGTTAGATGTAAAAAGCATAAAAAAAAATTTTGGGCATTTTTTGCAAAATCTACCCCCACCACTTCCTGGACCATACGATTTTTGGACGACATGTTGATTTTGCATTGTTAGGATATTAGAAATGATAAAAAGTGGTCCTTACATTTTAGCAATAAAGTGCAAACGGGATGACACGATAGAAGCAGCTTTGAACCCTACTATAATAAAATGTTACCTACACCACTGCACTAAACAGATTTATTGGTTAGAATTTTAACTTAATACGAGGGATGTTTCTAAGGTGTGTGCCAATTGCAATGATTTCCACTGTACATTTCATGAGTGAATTGAGTTCTACTTACTCCTTTCTGAACCTCTGCGGGGCGAACGGAGTGAGTTTTGCAGCAATTAACTCATTATTAAGTCGTTTTGATATAAAAATTAGGAGTTTTTGAATTAGAGTTAATGCATGCAAAAATGATTAAAATCTGCAAAAACCACTTGTGCAAAATACTTCACTTCTAATGATTACAGTGACTTGAAACTTTCAGGATTTATGAAATGAAGTTTCCTCTTTGTAGAAAAGTTAATTTCTCGGTTAATTTGAAGTCAATTCGAAGGTTCAAACCAAATTTGGAAGCTTTTTCTCAACTTAATGCATGAAAAAATGATTAAAATCTGCAAAAGTCACTTCTGCATAATACTTCTAATGATCATAGTGACTTGAAACTTCCAGGATTTATGAATTAAAGTTTCATCTTCATGGAGAAGTTAAGTTTCATCTTCATGGAGAAGTTAATTTGAAGTCGATTTGAAGCTCCAAACTGAATTTAGAAGCTTTTTCTCACGTTAATGCTTGTAAAAATGATTAAAATATGGAAAAATCACTTGTGCAGAATACTTCCAATGATCACAGTGACTTGAAATTTTCAGGATTTATGAAGTTTCATCTTTATGGGGAAGTCAATTTGAAGTCGATTTGAAGCTTCAAACTAAATTTAGAAGCTTTTTCTCACATTAATGCATGGAAAAATGGTTAAAATCTGTAAAAATCATTTGTGCAAAATACTCTCAATGACAGTGACTTGTAACTTTCAGGATTTATGAATTTAAGTTTTTTTTTTTCATAGAAAACCGAGTAGAAAACTCATGTGGAGGTAAATTTGAAGCTCTCAATTGAATTCTTGATTGACTTTGACAAGGTTTCTCGCCATTGGGTTTCTCTCTTTGTTGATGAATGCAAAACTTTGAAAGTGTGTAAAAATCACTTGTGCAAAATACTTCTAATGATCACAGTGATTTGAAACTTTCAGGATTAATGAAGTCTTTTTCATATTGAAAAGTTAGGTCCTTAATTTGAAGTTCATTTGAAGCTCCAAATCAAAGTTGCATGAAAAAACTGTAAAAATTTGCTGACCTGAAAATGAGTGAGTTTTTGAATTATTGAGTGAAAATTCTGAGTTAAAAATAAATGAGTTATTGAACTAAAGAGTAAATTTCATGAATAACCTGCAAATTAATTAAATTTTGAACTAGTGAGTGAAAAGTACATTTCATGAGTAATCTAAGTTCTACTAATTTTTGAACCTCTCGTCGTTCTGATATAAATATCAGGAGTTTCGGAACTACAGAATCTGGAATTCCACTGGAATCCCTTATGGTTGTACATACACTATAATTCCAAGGTGTGGCAGCCTAACTCTCTTAGAAGTAAAAAGAATTGTTCCGGTGGGTTCATATGACAAACCACTTTGTCATTAATAATCGCTACATTCCAGAAGTTCTTGTTCAGTAATATCAAAATATGGTCTAAGAATCAACCCGCCTAGCAATCTCTTTAGACATAGCAAAATTAAAAGGTATGAAAATGTTATCCTTTTTTTTAATAAAGTTTGATTTTTAACGAAGGAATTTGTAGCCTAATAATATGAAAGAAATTCTATTTAAACCTTTGGTATTAAGTTTTTTATATCAGCCAGTTTGAAAAAATCTCCTCTAGCAATTTCAATATTGTTTACTTTACCAAGGTTGAAACGCACTTTTTCTGTGGCTTCCAAATAAAGAAGGTATGGGACTTTATCCACTTGCTCAACTTACCTTAGTTCTGCAGAATGTTTATTGTCTAATGAGAGTTGTAGGTTATTCTGTATATCAATTTTGTTAATAAACAAGTCTCAGATAAGGAAAAGATATGGGTAATATTTTAATAGCAAGAAAAAAAATTAAGTACAAAAAAAAGATTGTGTTTTACCTGAAAGAACATGGCTGTTTCTTTGAAGATTCTATTGTACCATTAAAAATTAACTTTGAAGCTAGTTATTTAGTATTTTTAATGACTTAAATGAGTTATAGGACTACACACACTATATACGAACAAACAGATTCAAATAAAACGGACATAGAGCAAATAAATACGCTTGCTTTTACTGATAGAGGAACCAGAACCAGAGGAAAAAACCAAACACCAAACTGTTTTTAAAAGTTAAATTTGAAATTGACTTGACAGCGTCATACTTGAGAAGTAACGGCTTGTGGAATTTTATCTGACTCCGAGTACGTCTGTCTTCGTCTTTCTCACATGTGTCGTGGAATAAACAAAAACCGATAAATTCTATGATTGAGTTCACTGACATATTCTACTGAATTTGTGTGAAGTTAGCACTATCGCCGCGATATTTTGAATTTAAATAATTATATTAATGTAGTTTTTAATTAACTGATTGGGTATGATTTGTTTTTTTATATTTTTCTATGTTTTAAATATTTATTCATGATTTCTAAAACGCCACTATTATTTCGACCAATAGAGGATATAATTGTCGGTTACAGTAGGCCATGTTTTTCGCGGCCAATAGAACACGCATAGCAATTGTTTCAATAATCAGAGGAGTCATAGAGCTGCCATGTTGTTTTGCATTTTCCATTTTCCCATTATTCCACAATTTCCTTTCTAGCAACCAGCAATAAAGTTGACAGTTCATTGTCGTCCTGTCCAGAGGTTATGAGATTGTGGATTCCGGATTGAGAAAAACCAGAAAAAAACCTCCAGCCAGAATCATGAACACCAGCATCGAATTTCCCAGCGTAGTAAGTTTCTAACTTTTCATTCTTTGTGCATAATACAAACGATTTCGAACCGCTGAAGACCTTTCTACTACCGTGCGACGTGCGTAAAGTATACTTACTTACTTTACGCACTGTTCAAAAGACGTGAAATTAGATTTCACGCACTAGTTTCTACTAGTACTGCCTAGTGCGTAAAGTAATTCACTTTAGACACTGACGTAAAAGTTGTGGTATTTTGTTTTTTCTTCAAATTTATGGCTTTATATTAATTGTTGGTAAATAGTAGAATGTTTTTTGCATGCAACAGGTGTGTAAAGCACTTTTTTCCACGGATGTGATGATGTGATGTGATTGTCGCACTCGCCTTGTCAAAATTCACATTCGTGAAAAACGGCTCACTTTACACAGCTCATTGCTTTTACACAGTTGTTGTTGCGTGATAAATATTAGGTAGATCCAGAGGTACCTAGATATTTTGTTCGTTTTTTTTTTAAATCTGTATGTAGCTAACCAACAATAATAACGTTCTACAAACGATTTTTTAATGTCCATGTCAGAGTGTTTTTCGTTTTTCGAAAAGGTTTGAAAAAGACGTTTTGATTTTTGAGTTGTTTTTAAAACCTCCGCTATAGGGACAATTAAATAACGTTTTCCTACAGGTTCATCGTGAACGTGAACGTATGTTTCTGTAAAGAGTCGTGAAAGGGTCGTTTTTCAAACGGTTTTACAAATCATTTCTGAAACCATTATTGAAAATGTTTCATTATCCCTTTTTCGGATACTAAAATGTATGTTTTCAAAAAAATTCGTAAAAGATAGGTACGTTTATTAATATTGGATACTTTTTAATTACCTAAATCCAGTGGATGTTCTAAATGACCTATGAAAAAGCATCTTTTTGGTTTTTAAAATGTTTCGTATTAGGCGTTTTTGAAACGTCCATATGTAAAAATGTGAATTTAAGCGGTGATTATCGCTAAACCTCCCTTAAAATGGTCGGTGCAAACGGCCATGAGTTACTTTAGCTCAAGGATAAAGGATAATACACTACTAGGAGTATTAGGAATGCTTATCGGCCTCGTTTTTGGTAATCGCGGTCAAATGGTGTAGCACCAGCACCATTGCCAATGTGATTAATTGAGTAGTCAGCTGTTAGCGCCAGCAGTTGTAGTTTAGTTTAGAATTTAAATTGTTGATGAAAAATATTATTTATTTTGATTAATCAATGTTTAAAGTAGGTAACATTTTAACATAATTAAAAAAATGTCACTTTAAGCCACCGGCGTATACAAGGGGGGGGTAATGGGGGTAATTACCCCCCCCCCAAGATCGTTGCGATGGAAGAAAAAAATTTACCCTACACCACACAAATAAATCTATTTTTTATATTTTTACTTTTCAGCAACCGGCCCTAACTTGTTTTCTAGTTTGCACAGTGTCCGCACTGATCGCATGCCATTTATAGTGAATTCTATTCAAAGGAATAGTGCACACTGAGTGTATTCGTATCTTTCTCTACTAGCTTTTATAGGAAAGAGATAAATACATTTTTTGTAATAATCCTTCCAATAGAATTCGCTATAATTAAAAAGTTTTAGGGGAATCTCATAGCAAATTCCATTGGTAAAATCAGTGCAAAAAAATATATTTTTATCTCTTTCTTATACAAGCTGGTAGAATAAGATACGAATACACTCAGTGCGCACTAACCCTTATTCCAATGGAATTCGCTATCAGAGTTCGGTTTCGTTATTTGTTGGTAATACAGAATATATTTACCTAAAGCCTAGTACTCATTACTGCGAAATTCGCTTTTTTTTGACATTGCTTCGACAATTTGACGTTTGATACACGCATAAAACGTCAAATTGTTAAAGCAATGTCAAAAAAGTGCGAATGTCGCAGTTATGAGTAGGTACTAGGCTTAACAAGTGCGGAAAATGAATTTTTCCGCACGAGTCTGTCGTTCACCGAAAGACGCGTAGCGGAATTCGGTGAAGCAGCCGAATTCGGAAAACAGATTTTCCGCATGTGTTAGGCACAATAGTTTTTCTACAGACGTGCGGAAATAAGTAAGTACAGTTGCGATCAAAAAAAAGTAGTACAACCAAAAATCTCCAAAATCTCCTGGTCTATCATACAATAATTAAATTTATAACCAAAAATGACATTACTTTGGCATTTTTCAACAAGTTTTCAAACTACAGAGCTTCGGATGACATTATTTTGGCATTTTTCCACCCGTTTTTAACCTAGAATATGTCATCGCCTGAACCCAACATATTTTAAAATGTTTATTTACTGTCAAAATTTTGTATGCTACACCGGGAGCTCAAATTGGGGTTAATAATTCTTGTACACCTTTTTTTTGATCGCAACTGTACATATACCTACATAATTTGTAGTAATTTATTGTTTTTTTTTTGTCAGCCGCGCGGAAATAATTTTTCCGCACCGATATCCGTGCGGAAAAAATTTCGCCGCACCGTGCGAGATTCTCGCAGCGAGAAAATCGATTTTCCGCACTGTTTAATTGTCCTCACTCTCGTAGAAAAAAAATGTTTTGAAGGCTCAAAGTAAACGTTTTTGGGCGTGGCACCTGGAAAAAAATGGGCTGATAACCCCCCCCCCCCCCCCCAGACGCATGGGCTGGATACGCCGGTGCTTTAAGCGTTTATTATTTGTTACCAAAATGGGCTTCTTGTCACATCTGATATTTTATTTTATTTTTTGTAAATTTTCTTCAATTTATCACGTATAATAAATAAATGAATTATCATACAACCTTTCTTAAAATGGTCGGTGCAAATGAGAGTAAAATGCGAACTAGATCTAAAAAAGAGTTGTTTTAGAATGTTAATTAATGTAAAACAACAAAGTATGCATAGAGCAAAAGCCCGCAGCGAATCAAGGTTTGTTTGTTTGTGTTGTTCGGGGCAGCACTTTCTGCTTTGGGGCGTTCGTTTGTGAGCGTCTTATATGGGTGTATCTGCCATAAATATTACAGCTTAGTTCAAGGCGAGAAACGAGTGAAACGACACGCTGTCTACGTCATCACTGGTGCGTTGGCAGAGTGAGGGGCTTAAGATTTGAACTACACAGGCCTTATGAGGATATGTTATCGTTATCCTGTTGCAGTAGTGTGTATAGGCCGCCACAGATGCACAGTTATTTTGCACAGGACGACTGTGCAAGTCGATTTGCGCAAATTTATCTGTACCTGTGCCTCTCGGACACCCGCTCTGTTTTTAGCACACTTCTTTCCAAACAGGACGACAAACGCAGTTCAAACGTATTTTTCTTCCACAGTGAAAATGGCTTCTCGCAATACAGCTTTGTCTTGTATTCTGCTTGCTTGTGCAATAAAGAAGAATACTTCATAGGGAGCCGATTTCTTTTTTCCTATATCACTATAGTCCTTATACTTTTTATTTTCCACAAGCATTGGAAGGTTTGTATATTTCTATAAAATCGCAAGTCACATAGAAAATGTTTGCTTGTGTTCGACATTTTGTTTATTTGGAATGCTATGTTATTTTTTAATAGACTGACTAAATAAGCTGAATAAATAAACTGAACACACACACACACACACACTCAGGTCTATTGGTTCGCGCAGGCCCAATTTCAAGCAGATCTTGAATTTGTACTCAGGCCAGGCCATTACAGTCGGCCGGAAGTATCCACAGACGTGCCGCTATGCCTGGCCTGCACAAACCAGGTTTGCACCAATGTTTGCACAGTCACGTCGGCCTGTGCAAAATAACTGAGCGTCTGTGGGGGCCTTATTATCCTTGACTTTAGCTGACGTTTTTTACTATGGGCGAATTCTTTTATTCATCAATGGATCCATCTGCGGCTAGCATATGATGGGACAGCCTTTCCGATTTTCTCTGAATAACTAGACGTCGCCAAAATGCCGGAATTGCTTATCTGTGACAAATGTGATGAGGAAGTGCTTGATAATCAGGATGATTTATTATACGAAAAGTGCTTAATATGGAAACATCGAGAATGTATTTCGATGACTCAAAGGGCGTATCAGTAGTGGTTGAGAAAATCCACTCAGCCATGGCTTTGCGATGATTGTCAGAGTGGTAAAACCCAGGATAATACTAAGAAAACAGGACAAAATAAACAAAATTACACTATCGATGATGTTATGTCAAAGTTGCATGATATGGATGATAAATATACTGCACTATACCAAAAATTCGAGGAGCAATTGAAAATAAATGAAAAACTGCATCAGAGCGAATTGCAGGATATAAAAAAGAAACTCAATAAGAGAGAGCAGATTGAACTGAATAACAACATAATAGTCCATGGAATTGGAAGTAAACTGGATATGACAATTGTTGAAAACTTCACAGCCCATAGACTGGGTAGGGAATGTAGGGATGATCCGCAAAAAAATCGCCCCATCAAGGTTGTCTTCTCAAGTTTAAACTAATAAATTTATATTAATAAAATTTTATATTTCAGGGGATGAGCTTTGAAATAAATAAATTAACACGGAAACCAAGGCACAGATCATGAAATCCAAAAAAATATTTCAATTCACCACCACAGAATTGAGATTTTCCAACAGTAATCAGTAATCGAGTATTCCTGAATCATGACCATGAAAATAAAGCACAGTTGGAAAACTAGACAGGCCTCGAGAATTGAATATTGTCTATATGAACACCCAAAGCCTGCGATATAAGTTTGATATTGTGCAATGCTCTCTGTGATAAATGAAAACTGTGATGCAATATTGTTGAATGAAACTTGGCTGAATAACAATGAAACCTTTCTATATAATATCGAAAAATATAAGGCAGTGCATTCCTGCCGAGACGGAAGAGGCGGCGGAGCATGAGTCTACATTTTAGACAGTAGCTGCTTACGATCAAGCACTTTTCTTACCTAACTTGAAGAATCTAAGTTGCGCGTACGATTTGCAGGGCCGGATTTTACAGTCGTGCAACTCATGTGCCGCACGAGGGCGGTAGCCCGAGGGGGCGGCATATTCTATCTAGGTACATTAGTATATTTTTATACAGATTTAAAAAAAAAAAAACTAGAGACAAATACCTTTAAACTATATTGCACGAACAGGTAGCCAGCTGTTGTGGCGCGTGCTACCTGCCAAGTGGTACGAGCACCCCTGAAAAGTAGTACGAGCGCCCTTGGCCTATCACCATAGGCGCCGCCAGGATTAGTTTCAGGGGGGTGCATACAGGCAATGGTGGCGCGTGGATTATTATATTGGTCCAAATTACTAATTTAAGAAGTTGAATAAGTGCCCGAAAATTTTTCCGGGTGCCACGCCCAAAAATGGTTATTTTGAGTTTTCAAAAAAATAAATTTTTCTTGGTGATTGGGAAAGTTATATGATGTTTTAACCTCGGCAATTTAATACTTTTCTCGGGATATCAAATCGTAGGAATGAAAAAAATTTATATCAAGAAATAAGAAATTAAGTGAATTCGAAATTCCCGCCATTCTACAGGTTGATTGCGCGCGAAAAAAAAAAACATGTGAAGCGCCGTACACGTGGTAAAAATGAAACTTCTTAAAAACCGAATGAGGGAGATTGAAGGTGCGAGAGAAGAAAAGAGAGGGAATTTCAAAAGAAATACCTATATGCTTTTCAGATATTATTGGCGTAGCATTGTCCATGGAAATTTGAGAGGTTGCCCTCGTATAATAATGACATTTGATGACAATGTATTTTTTAAATTTCAGGGTTATAAAACAGACAGCCGAGTTGCCAGAATGTGTTAAATATCTGAGTAGATTCAATTCCAAAATAAGTTTCCAAATTAATTTAAAAAAAAAATGGGTACTTAGTAAACTTATCAAATTTATTTGAAATAAAATAAATCCAACGTAACCATAATAATAAGCTTAACAGCATAAATATGTTTTCGCAGTAACTGTTTTCTCGGGTTTCGTCCAACAAAAATAGTGGTTGCTGGTTATGAGAAATGGCTTTACATCTATATTTAAACTATACCTACCCCAAATGTATCTGGTAGTTGGACTCCAATTATTATTCCCTGAAGAACTTCTCTTTTGTCGAAATAGCCGTAACATTTTATTATTTCCCATTTTCCTTATTTTCTCTTGAGAAATTATTTTGGGCATCTTAAATATGAAATAAATTTGACAATGCCGAGTTTTGAACAATGTCAATGGATTTTGCAGGTATGCAGAATAGTAAAGTGCCGTTTATATGTTGCACTATTGAAAAATATATTGACAAATGTGTCAAATTTGATTGGCCAGATAGGCCAGAGAATTTCAATACTGCGACACTTACGAGATTATGTGAAACACACTTAAAACTGTCTGGAATTTGACATATATTGTTATTATTATACGAGGGTCAACCTGTCGAATTTCCATGGATAATGCTACGCCAATAATAAGTGAAAGGCAAATACAACAGTATGTACAGTGTGCTCTTTTTATCTTGATAACAGTTTAAACTGTCGTAATTTCTTTATTTTTGAAGTTATTTAAATAAATAAAAAAAAGCACAGGACACAAATATGTAATGTATAAATAACGAAAATAATCACAAAATACAATGATAGTAGTAAAACAAAGGGAGACGCGCATCTATAGTAACGTGTCAACGTGACATCACAAAAGTATCGGCGCTGGTCAATAATAGGCAATCGTTTTTACGCTTATAATCTTTGGTTTCTGTCAATCAATAGCTGTCTTTCTCCGTCTCTTTACGTTTATCTTTCTTCTCTCTCGAGTAACGAAATTTCCCCGTAACGTGTATTTCAAATTACTCTACATTAGTTGCATTCCTTTTACACCTAAGAGGAGCTCCGGAACAGCTCCGAGGCGCTACGCGTTTATTCCTTTCGCAAAGTGTTTGTTGCACCAACGTCATTGGTTGCACCCCGCATCTCTCCCATTAAAACCGTTGTCGAGTAACACCGGAGCGAGTAGCTCCAGTTTCCAAATTCTTGAAAGAAATACAATTATTGTCGTCCAAATATCACGCCGCCTAGAAGTTTGACTTCAATAACTCGATTCAAACAGTAACTTTAAAAAATAAAAAAAAATAATAAAATAAAAAATATTGTTTTCAATGTATTCCTGACAGGGGGGTGCAAGTGCACCCCCTTGCACCCTGCTGCCGGCGCCCATGCCTATCACCATTGTATAAAAAGCCTTTTTATACAATGCTATCACCTTCTAGCGATAAACAACAAACGAACCACCCACGGATAGGGCTCCGTCAAGTTAGCTCCCTCACATTCGAATTTTCTAACAAAATTTCAACCACTCGCCGTGCTCGAAGCGTACTTTACTAGTTTACTGTGCCCTGTGCCTATGATATTTTGAACCGTGCTGTTCCGATACCAAAGTTATAGGAAAAACAAGATAAGGGGCTAACTTGACGCTCAGACCCCCAAAAATGGAAATTAGGTCAAACAAAAATGGATTCTTATGCAATCGAAAGTGTGCTAAACTGTGCTGTATCAGATTTTTCTAAAAATGTCCATATTCGGTCATTTTCCGACAATATTCTACTGGGCTAGGGGGGCAAACTTGACGATCAGCCCCCCCAAATTTTGGAAATCAGATCAAACAAAAATAGATTCTTATGCAATTTTAAGTGTGCTGAACTGTATCAGGCTTTTCTGAAAATTTTCTTATTCGGTCATTTTCCGACAAAATCCTGCTGAGAGGCTAACTTGACGCTCAGTCCCCCCTAAATTTTGGAGATCAAACAAGAATGGATTATTATGTAATCTGAAGTGTGCTGAACTGTGCTGTATCAGGGTTTTCTCCAAATTTCCACACTCGGTCATTTTCCGACAAAATCCTACTCGGCGGGCTACTTATTTGATCTGATTTTCAAAATTTTGGGGGGGCTGAGCGTCAAGTTAGCCACCCAATAGGATTTTGTCTGAAAATGACCGAATATGAAAATTTTCAAAAAAACCTTATGCAACAGAGTCCAGCACACTTCAAATTGCATAAAAATCCGTTTTTGTTCCATTCGATTTCCAAAATTTTGGGGGGCTAGCGTCAAGCCCAGTAGGATTTGTCGGCATACAACCAAATATGGATATTTTGAGAAAAACCTGGTACAGCACAGTTCAGCACACTTCAGATTACATAATGAATAATTACAGACACGCGTCTAAAGGAACAGCCCCAGCTTGTTCTCCCGTCTCTCTAATGCCTAATCGCCTCTTCTCTAGCTCTCGTTCGGTTTCGGTACCTTCGTTTTCTGTGGCGCGCTCGTTCAATCCTAAATCGCTATCAAACGATCTATCAGGACTATCAATCACTATCAAACAATTATCAAACGATTGAGAGTGAAGAAAGTCAAAAATTTAAATTTGGGGGGCTAAGTCTACAGAGGTGAGATTTGGTGCAATGAATGAAAAATGCTTATTTTTGCTAGTACTACAACATGGCAAATTTTTTAAAAAATCGATGGGTCCCCGAAAACCCATAAGATGTGTGCGATGTCCTTTTCAGAAAAATCTGATACAGCACAGTTCAGCACACTTCAAATTGCATAAGAATCAATTTTTATTTGATCTGATTTCCAAAATTTTGGGGGGGTTGAGCGTCAAGTTAGCCCCTCATCTTGTTTTTCCTTTAACTTTGGTAAAATTGACGGAGCCTCACAGTATTCCAAACAAGCTAACCGGAAAAAATAAATGCAACAAAATTTGGACACAGTAGATTTAAAAAAAAAAAATAGGTGTATTTTTTATTTATAAAGAAAAGACTATTCTCATAGCTAGGGGCGAACCTCCAGGTAGCTCCAAATAAAGCAGGACACTTTGGCAAAAATAAAAAAATTGGATCACATACCTATATCTACTCACTGTTCCTAAGGAGGGAGTCCAATCCTTGACTTATATGTAACCAAAAGTATTCTTAGCCAAAAGTACTTTGGATGTAAAGGAAAAACTTCCCCCAGTGGTAAAATATTCCCTGATGAGCAGAACATTTGCTAAATGTTGGGAAATTCTCGAACCAATATCCATTGGCCTATTTTTATTCAACTTGTTTTGTTTTAGATCATAAACAACCTCGAAGTGCAAAATTCAATCAAGACTTTTGAACTTTCGAAAAAATATTTGAAAAGAATAACAAAGCTTGCTTTACTTAATATTATCAACAGACGAATTCAGGTACCAGAAAATGAATTCATTGAAAAACTTGCTTTTGATCAAGTTCCTTATTTCATTTTCAAACGAAAAAGCCAAAATAGATTTATAAAAGCCCATCACAAATACGGTACAGGAGTACTAGATGCTCTGGAGAAAGGATTCGTAAGTAGAATAGTTATCATATCAGTTTTTTAAACAGATGTTTTAATTCAAGTATAATTATCTAGCAATAATTTGTATTGTTTTGCAGCTACGACAAATGGACTTGATTATTGTAAGGAAAAATACTAAGGAAATTCTAGAGAGTTACCGTTTTAAGTATAAATACAACAATGAAAACGAAGGAGAAGCCGGAATTAGAGATTCAGAAAAAGTTCGTAAAGCTATGCTTGGCTTGTTGAATGCTATACGGTGTTTGCCAGGGGAAAAATGGCCAGAAGATGATGTCGACCTATTGTGCGATATCTGTTATCAAGACAGTTAGTATTATTTTGCTAATATTATATTTGTTTTGTTATTTATCAAACAGAAGGGCAATGGAAATAAGAATTCAAAGAAATCAACTTTTTCATCTTTGTCAGTTGGCTGCCTAAAAAACTTTTCCCAGATTCTATTTACCCCATATAGCTACAAAAATCCAGCTAACTACCTATATCCGAATACATGCCTCAGAAATTTTGGGCACTATAAACTTAACACTTTTAATTCCATAGATACTCCATCTACATATGAACCACCTCATTTCCGCCCCAATACGGAAGTAAAATCAGTCGACCATTTTGCTGTTTATCATATGGGTAGAATCAATACGGGCTTTCATAAACTTACTGGAGAAGCCAGAGGATGGAATGTGAGATTATTTTTAGTAGATGTATGTGGGGTGCGAATAATACGCGTTTAATTTTTAGCTTGAGACTTTCAAGGATACTGCTACTTCCGCGCCGGTTCCAGTGGTGGAAGAGCAAGTACCTAGGGATGAAGAGGAGCGCCAATATGCGAATGATGCGGAGCAAGAACCTATGGAAATAGCGCAAGAACCTCTAGAAATGGCGCAAGGCTCTATGGAAAAGCAGCAAACAGTTACAGAAGAGGAACGAGAATCTTTGGAGATTGATGCAATATCTCCGGAAATTAGATTTGGGAACCTGAAAATAAGATCAAACAACAAACGTGGTTGTATTGATCAAATCATGAAAAGTCCTCCTAAGAAAGCTAAATTGATGCTAAACGAATCTATAGAAAATAAAAGTTTAGGTAAGTAGATAATTGAATCATAAACGCTCTCAAAAATACATTGGAAAAAATTATTAGAGATAGCTTCAGTGCTCAGCCAAGCTCTCGAAAATTGCGCTTGTGAATGGAGAAACCTGGACCAGACATTCCAATTGATAAACTGCAATAAATGTTTAGAACCAGTTCATGCTGTATGCAATGGGTATTTTGATTCGCAGGCGATTGATAAGGAACAATTCATTTGCCTCTCTTGCAGTTCGAACAATAAGAATAATAAACTTCGAGCTCATCTGAGGTAAGTTTGGGTATTCAGTCCCCAGGCGGCAGAGCAATGCAGAGTAAAATACAAAGGTACAAGGTAAAGATTATATCTTGATATATACCTACTCCGCGAAAATAAAAACTAGTAGGATGTTCTGTGCTAGTAGGTATATACCTAAAATGTCGAAAAATGCTTCACTTTGCATTTTTCTTTGCATCATTTTTCCTTTGCATTCATAGATTATTCTGACCGGTGACTTAAACCTGAATTTCGCAAATAGTTCGCACCCCAATATTCAGTTACTTTCTGATGTATTGAAATCTTCTGATTTAGCCATACATGGCCATGGTCCAACAAATACCATTTCAAAGTCACGTGATTTTTCTCTATCCTTGTTGAATACATCAGAATCCCACTCGAGTTACAAAGACCTCGTCATCTTTGATTGACTATGTTCTACTAAGGCTGGTAATTTTGTTGATTGTTTTGTAAAAAAGGCGGACCTGTCATACCACGAGACTGTTATCTGTAATTTTAATATATTTCTTGTAAAAAAAAACAAAAATCTGGATGCAAGGGGTAGGATTTACTCACGGAATACCTAATTACAGTAGGTTTTCGTAATTATGTGCCGAGACTGACTGGGCCATACCTATGCCTACTACACTCATCTAACCCCCTCAATCAGTTTCAGAGTTTATTTTATCTCATAATTTCAATAAAGCATTTCCACTTAAAACTTTGAAGAAAAAGAACGCAATACCCTGGTTTCACTAAGGGCCTAAAGATATCAGCGCGAACCATGCGTTTTTTACACAGGCTTCGTAAATATTTTCTGGATAGTTTAGTAAAAATCGTGGAATTTATAGAAAATCAATAAGAGCTGCTAAGCAAAGATACTATACTAATAGAATTCATTAATCAAACAATGAACATAGAGAGAGCTTACTTGTGATCAATTTAACTCTTTTTATTGTAATGTAGCGGCGAACTTCGAACTTATCTGCAAATATGAGTCCTGACAAGAACGGCTTAGCTTATATTGAGGAAGCCGCGGTAAGAGACAACTTTCATTTTTATCCGACGGATATATATGAAATTAGGAAGGTCTTTGCAGACATAAAAAACAAAGATTCCTCTGGATGGGACGATATTTCTTTGAATTTTTTTGTAAGGCTTCCTGATCGAGCTCTGCATATGCTTCCAGAGGCAATAAATTTGTCTTTTATAACCGGTAGTTTCTCTTCTATGAAATTTGCTAAAGTTACTCCTCTGTTCAAGGTGGGAGACAAAGAGTCGCCTCCAAACTTTAGACCAATTTCCCTGCTCCCAACTATGGCCAAAGTTGTTGAAAAACTGGTAAAGACGCGTATCATCAGTTTTCTTGATAGACACAGTATTTTAAGCAAAGTTCAGTTCGGATTTCATTCTTCAAGAAACACCAATGATGCCATGTTCTTAATGTTCTTATTTTTGGAAAATGTATACAATCGACTTATGATGGAGAGGTTGCTGCGGCGGTGTTTTGTGATCTGTCTAAGTCTAAGGCATTTGATTGCGTGGATCATAGAGTACTGCTGGGCAAGCTTGAAATACCTATATGGTTTTAGAGGACTGATGTGAAGTTATCAGACAAAAGTTATGAGACAATTTTCCGGAAACAGCCGAAGGTTCAGTGGCGTCGGTTTTTTTATATATGTATATTTCACCTTTATCTCTTGTAACAATGACTTATTAGGTGCTCCCTAAGGATATCACATAAAAATTTTCAATATTTTCCTATTATTAGTAGGTACAAATCTACGGTCATTGAAATTTTAGAAGGTGAAACTGTTTCTTAGCATTTCTCAAAAACTGTCCGTACTGACAAGTTAAAATTATTACTAGACAATATTTAGATCACAAAGAACATTAAAAAAAATATACCACACCCCTGCTCCCCTTCGGTCTTTGAAATTTTAAGGTTAAAATATGTTTTTCAACTTTTCTCAAAAACGGCCCGTACTGACAGGTTCAAATTGTTACTAGACATTATTTAGATCACAAAGAACATTAAAAAAAATATACCACACCCCTGCTCACCTTCGGTCTTTGAAATTTTAAGGTTAAAATATGTTTTTCAACTTTTCTCAAAAACGGCCCGTACTGACAGGTTCAAATTGTTAGTAGACATTATTTAGATCACATAGAACAATAAAAAAAATATACCATACCCCTGCGCCCCTTCGGTCTTTGAAATTTTTAAGGGTGAGGGTGGAATATGTTTTTCAACTTTTCTCAAAAACGGACCGTACTGACAGGTTCAAATTATTACTAGACATTATTTAGATCACAAAGAACAATAAAAAAATATGCCATACCCTATAAGCTCTTTGTGACTTGAATATCTGATAATAATTTGAACCGGTCAGTACGGACGGTTTTTGAGAGATGCACAAACATATTTCACCGTATTACACCCCTAAAAATTTCAAAGACCGAAGGGGCGCAGGTGTATGGTATATTTTTTTTATTGTTCTATGCGATCTAAATAATGTCTACTAACAATTTGAACCTGTCAGTACGGGCCGTTTTTCAGAAAAGTTGAAAAACATATTTCACCGTACCGCACCCTTAAAAATTTCAAAGACCGAAGGGGCGCAGGGGTATGGTATATTTTTTTTATTGTTCTTTGTGATCTAAATAATGTCTAGTAACAATTTGAATCTGTCAGTACGGGCCGTTTTTGAGAAAAGTTGAAAAACATATTTCACCCTCACCCTTAAAAATTTCAAAGACCGAAGGGGCGCTGGGGTATGGTATATTTTTTTTATTGTTCTATGTGATCTAAATAATGTCTACTAACAATTTGAACCTGTCAGTACGGGCCGTTTTTGAGAAAAGTTGGAAAACATATTTCACCGTATTGCACCCTTAAAACTTCAAAGACCGAAGGGGCGCAGGGGTATGGTATATTTTTTTTTATTGTTATTTGTGATCTAAATAATGTCTAGTAATAATTTGAATCTGTCAGTACGGGCCGTTTTTGAGAAAAGTTGAAATCGTTATTTTTGTATCTAGGGCGCGAAATGCTACTTTGGTTTTTCGAGATCTGATTTTTTTAACGAGGCGCAGCCGAGTTAAAAAAATAGTCGAGATCACCAAAGTATTTCGCGCCCGAGTTGCAAACAATATTTTTTCTACAACTGCATTTAAATATCGATCATTCGGTCATTCGATTATTCGGTAGGTGAATTTTAATTATTTTTGGTTTCCTGACAGGTATGTGTCACCATGACATATCAGTGTGCGAACTATCTATTTCGCGCACCAGTGTGCGAAATAGCTAGTTCGCGCACGGCGTCATGGGAACGTTAAAAAATCAATACCTGGGAAAAAAAGTGTAACTTCGCAAACTGTTATGAGTGTGCGAACATCATCATTTTTTGACAGTTGTAGAAAAAACATATTTTACACTCACCCTTAAAAATTTCAAAGACCGAAGGGGCGCAGGGGTATGGTATATTTTTTTTACTGTTCTTTGTGATCTTAATAATGTCTAGTAACAATTTGAACCTGTCAGTACGGGCCGTTTTTGAGAAAAGTTGAAAAACATATTTTACCCTCACCCTTAAAAATTTCAAAGACCGAAGGGGCGCAGGGGTATGGTATATTTTTTTCATTGTTCTATGTGATCTAAATAATGTCTTGTAATAATTTGAATCTGTCAGTACGCCCGTTTTTGAGAAAAGTTGGAAAACATATTTCACCGTATTGCACCCTTTAAAATTTCAAAGACCGAAGGGGCGCAGGGGTATGGTATATTTTTTTATTGTTCTATGTACTCTAAATAATGTCTAGTAACAATTTGAACCTGTCAGTACGGGCCGTTTTTGAGAAAAGTTGAAAAACATATTTTACCCTCACCCTTAAAAATTTCAAAGACCGAAGGGGCGCAGGGGTATGGTATATTTTTTTTACTGTTCTTTGTGATCTAAATAATGTCTAGTAATAATTTGAATCTATCAGTACGGGCCGTTTTTGAGAAAAGTTGAAAAACATATTTCACCCTCACCCTTAAAAATTTCAAAGACCGAAGGGGCGCAGGGGTGTGGTATATTTTTTTCATTGTTCTATGTGATCTAAATAATGTCTAGTAATAATTTGAATCTGTCAGTACGGCCGTTTTTGAGAAAAGTTGGAAAACATATTTCACCGTATTTTACCCTTAAAAATTTCAAAGACCGAAGGGGCGCAGGGGTATGGTATATTTTTTTATTATTCTATGTGATCTAAATAATGTCTAGTAACAATTTGAACCTGTCAGTACGGGCCGTTTTTGAGAAAAGTTGAAAAACATATTTTACCCTCACCCTTAAAAATTTCAAAGACTGAAGGGGCGCAGGGGTATGGTATATTTTTTTTACTGTTCTTTGTGATCTAAATAATGTCTAGTAATAATTTGAATCTATCAGTACGGGCCGTTTTTGAGAAAAGTTGAAAAACATATTTCACCCTCACCCTTAAAAATTTCAAAGACCGAAGGGGCGCAGGGGTATGGTATATTTTTTTATTGTTCTATGTGATCTAAATAATGTCTAGTAACAATTTGAACCTGTCAGTACGGGCCGTTTTTGAGAAAAGTTGAAAAACATATTTTACCCTCACCCTTAAAAATTTCAATGACCGAAGGGGCGCAGGGGTATGGTATATTTTTTTTACTGTTCTTTGTGATCTTAATAATGTTTAGTAACAATTTGAACCTGTCAGTACGGGCCGTTTTTGAGAAAAGTTGAAAAATATATTTTACCCTCACCCTTAAAAGTTTCAAAGACCGAAGGGGCGCAGGGGTATGGTATATTTTTTTCATTGTTCTATGTGATCTAAATAATGTCTAGTAATAATTTGAATCTGTCAGTACGGCCGTTTTTGAGAAAAGTTGGAAAACATATTTCACCGTATTGCACCCTTAAAAATTTCAAAGACCGAAGGGGCGCAGGAGTATGGTATATTTTTTTATTGTTCTATGTGATCTAAATAATGTCTAGTAACAATTTGAACCTGTCAGTACGGGCCGTTTTTGAGAAAAGTTGAAAAACATATTTCACCCTCACCCTTAAAAGTTTCAAAGACCGAAGGGGCGCAGGGGTATAGTATATTTTTTTCATTGTTCTATGTGATCTAAATAATGTCTAGTAATAATTTGAATCTGTCAGTACGGCCGTTTTTGAGAAAAGTTGGAAAACATATTTCACCGTATTTTACCCTTAAAAATTTCAAAGACCGAAGGGGCGCAGGGGTATGGTATATTTTTTTATTATTCTATGTGATCTAAATAATGTCTAGTAACAATTTGAACCTGTCAGTACGGGCCGTTTTTGAGAAAAGTTGAAAAACATATTTTACCCTCACCCTTAAAAATTTCAAAGACCGAAGGGGCGCAGGGGTATGGTATATTTTTTTCATTGTTCTATGTGATCTAAATAATGTCTAGTAATAATTTGAATCTGTCAGTACGGCCGTTTTTGAGAAAAGTTGGAAAACATATTTCACCGTATTTTACCCTTAAAAATTTCAAAGACCGAAGGGGCGCAGGGGTATGGTATATTTTTTTATTATTCTATGTGATCTAAATAATGTCTAGTAACAATTTGAACCTGTCAGTACGGGCCGTTTTTGAGAAAAGTTGAAAAACATATTTCACCCTCACCCTTAAAAATTTCAAAGACCGAAGGGGCGCAGGGGTATGGTATATTTTTTTTACTGTTCTTTGTGATCTAAATAATGTCTAGTAATAATTTGAATCTATCAGTACGGGCCGTTTTTGAGAAAAGTTGAAAAACATATTTCACCCTCACCCTTAAAAATTTCAAAGACCGAAGGGGCGCAGGGGTGTGGTATATTTTTTTCATTGTTCTATGTGATCTAAATAATGTCTAGTAATAATTTGAATCTGTCAGTACGGGCCGTTTTTGAGAAAAGTTGGAAAACATATTTCACCGTATTGCACCCATAAAAATTTCAAAGACCGAAGGGGCGCAGGGGTATGGTATATTTTTTTTATTATTCTTTGTGATCTTATTAATGTCTAGTAACAATTTGAACCTGTCAGTACGGGCCGTTTTTGAGAAAAGTTGAAAAATATATTTCACCCTTAAAAATTTCAAAGACCGAAGGGGCGCAGTGGTATGGTATATTTTTTTTATTGTTCTATGTGATCTAAATAATGTCTACTAACAATTTGAACCTGTCAGTACGGGCCGTTTTTGAGAAAAGTTGAAAAATATATTTTACCCTCACCCTTAAAAGTTTCAAAGACCGAAGGGGCGCAGGGGTATGGTATATTTTTTTCATTGTTCTATGTGATCTAAATAATGTCTAGTAATAATTTGAATCTGTCAGTACGGCCGTTTTTGAGAAAAGTTGGAAAACATATTTCACCGTATTTTACCCTTAAAAATTTCAAAGACCGAAGGGGCGCAGGGGTATGGTATATTTTTTTATTATTCTATGTGATCTAAATAATGTCTAGTAACAATTTGAACCTGTCAGTACGGGCCGTTTTTGAGAAAAGTTGAAAAACATATTTCACCCTCACCCTTAAAAATTTCAAAGACCGAAGGGGCGCAGGGGTGTGGTATATTTTTTTCATTGTTCTATGTGATCTAAATAATGTCTAGTAATAATTTGAATCTGTCAGTACGGGCCGTTTTTGAGAAAAGTTGGAAAACATATTTCACCGTATTGCACCCATAAAAATTTCAAAGACCGAAGGGGCGCAGGGGTATGGTATATTTTTTTTATTATTCTTTGTGATCTTATTAATGTCTAGTAACAATTTGAACCTGTCAGTACGGGCCGTTTTTTAGAAAAGTTGAAAAATATATTTCACCCTTAAAAATTTCAAAGACCGAAGGGGCGCAGGGGTATGGTATATTTTTTTTATTGTTCTATGTGATCTAAATAATGTCTACTAACAATTTGAACCTGTCAGTACGGGCCGTTTTTGAGAAAAGTTGAAAAATATATTTCACCCTTAAAAATTTCAAAGACCGAAGGAGCGCAGGGGTATGGTATATTTCTTTTTAATGTTCTTTGTGATCTAAATAATGTCCAGTAACAATTTGAACCTGTCAGTACGGGCCGTTTTTGAGAGAAGTTGAAAAACATACTTCTTCCTCACCCTTAAAAATTTCAAAGACCGGAGGGGCGCAGGGGTATGGTATATTTTTTTTATTGTTCTATGTGATCTAAATAATGTCTACTAACAATTTGAACCTGTCAGTACGGGCCGTTTTTGAGAAAAGTTGAAAAATATACTTCACCCTTAAAAATTTCAAAGACCGAAGGAGCGCAGGGGTATGGTATATTTTTTTTTAATATTCTTTGTGATCTAAATAATGTCCAGTAACAATTTGAACCTGTCAGTACGGGCCGTTTTTGAGAAAAGTTGAAAAACATATTTTACCCTTTAAATTTCCAAGACCAAAGAGGCGCAGGGGTGTGGTATATTTTTTTTAATGTTCTTTGTGATCTAAATAATGTCTAGTAATAATTTTAACTTGTCAGTACGGACAGTTTTTGAGAAGTGCTAAGAAACAGTTTCACCTTCTAAAATTTCAATGACCGTAGATTTGTACCTACTAATAATAAGAAAATATTGAAAATTTTTATGTGATATCCTTAGGGAGCACCTAATAAGCCGTTGTTACAAGAGTTATAGGTAAAATATACATATATAAAAAAACCGACGCCGCTGAACCTTCGGCTGTTTCCGGAAAATTGTCTGATAACTTTTGTCTATAACTTCACATCAGTTTTTAGAGGAACGTTCTTTCCTATCATGGATAGCTTCTTATCTGTCTTCACGTTATCAATCAGTGAGCTTCAATGGTGAAGAATCCTGTAACCAACAAATTTTTTCTGGGTGTTCTTCAGGGATCTGTTCTGGGGCCTTTATTGTTTCTGATTTACATCAATCAGAGTTGGATGTGTCAGGTGTATTTACAATGTTTGCTAATGATATGACGATTCTGTGGCGTGGCACGCTCAATGCTGATCAGTTGGAGAGATTGGTTGGCAGAGATCTGGTTGAAATCAAAAAATTGTGCGACTCAAATTTCTTGACACTGAACATTGCCAAAACAAATATTGTCTCTTTCAAATGTGGCGTGGGTGATGTTATTTTGGGTTCGCAGGTTGTGCGGAGCGTGCAGGTTTATAAGTTTTTAGGTTTATTCATTGATGGAAAGTTGAAGTTTCAAGCTCACGTTCTGAACATGAATAAAAAACTTTCTAGAGGTTGCTTTGCATTGAGGGTTGTCTCGCGAGAGTTGGATTCGTCTATTGCGAGGAATGCGTATTTTGCGTTGGTTGAGTTGAGTCTCATCTAAGTTACAGAATCTGTTTCTATGGATCCTGTTCTAATCAACTTTACACTATGGCACTAACGCGCAATAAGGTCAATGTGTGGGGTGGATCCCAGGCAATCTTGCAGACCCTTGTTTGTTTCACAAAAAATCCTAACTCTCGTATGCATATTTATTGCTGAAACTTTTGGCCTAATTCACAGTAAGTATAAGGATGAGATTGCAACTGTGGGGGTTTTAGTCACTCGTTCATCTCATGTGGCTTCGTTCCTCATTCCCGTTTCGACCCTCACAAAGAAATACATAATTTATAATTTAGTATCATGCCATGTTTGTTTTATAGGTATTTATTTATATAGTATGTATTAAGAATTTATATTGGATTAGTGTTTTATATTTGATTTGATTTGTGTAAATTATTATTGTTATCTGCATAGATTGGTCCTTTATGGAGCTTTCTGCGAAGAACGTGAGCCGGCAGTTCTCCGCAATGCCAAAAAAACTGAGAAAAAGCTCCTCTTGAAAAAGCTGGAAAAATATGGTATCATCCAACCAGGAACCGGGTAAGCTTTATAATTTTTTTTTTGTCCCATAAATGTTATTTTTTTTTTATATTTAGAGTTGTCAATTTAAAGGCACTGGAAGAGGCGATTAGGAGGAACTTCTTTGATGTCCAGAACTCAGCCCGACTATAGTTTGATAGTTTTCACTTCCTAATATTAGTTATTGTTTAGACTTTTTTTTGTTAAGTTTTTTTTTTTGTTTCTCTAAGTACCTACGTCTTAAGACGTACTATGCCTAATTGTTGTTTCCAGCAGTAATATATAACAAATATTGATGTAACGTAGGTATTAGTTGCAAAACTTGTGTTGGAACAAAGCTGTAGTCAGCCTTCTAATTCACAAGTGATTGATCTTGTAGATTGATTAAATTCAAAAATTAAACTGGAAAAAAGTGATAACACATTTCAAAAAGCCCTGTATGTTTAGTTTTAGTTTGTCTTTGTTGTATTTTCATTTTCACCTTCTGATTAACGTTCTTTTGTAACTGTTAATATTACTTATAATGGGCATTTCTTGTTGTTTAAATAAACTTTTTTCTTGTTGCTACAGAGTTTTGTATTTACACATTTAATAAAGTTGTGCTAATTTTGTATTCATTACTTATACCTACTGATTTTCCTGGAGGAGGAATGAAATAATATTTTTCTACAGCCGTGTGCCAAAAAAAATTTCCGCACGTAGGTATAACGGTGCGGAGTTTTTTTTTCTCTGCCACACGGCTGTCAAAAAAAATTTAATAGACTACTACAAAATATGAAGGTATACTTATTTCCGCACGTCTGTAGAAAAACTATTGTACAGGGTCATTTTTTATATTTTCCCACCACCCTTAACTTTTTTGTCCCACTGTGTATAAAAAAAATGTTGGGGAAAGTGTTCCACAATGAGACAAAAATTGCGTTTCAGAAAATAGTCAGAAGTTATGATTGAATTTTGTAATTTAGATGTTGCATGCTCATAGATTGACATATTTCTCGTAATTAGCGTAATAATATTATTATTATATCGATTCAAAAAAATAAATGGAGCAATTTTTTTGAAACGCGAATTTTGTCTCATTGTGGAACAAGTATGTTCCACAGTGAGACAAGTCCTTTTACGCCAAAAAACACTACAAAACTGTAATATTCCGAGAAATTAGACCCATAAATCACAATGTCTTTATTGTAAAAATTTAATAAATGTCAAATAATCAAAAACTTAAATTCCGGTATTTCTAAATCAGTATCAATAAATTAAAATGAAACAAATAGGGTCGTTTCATGATTTTTTTTTATTTTTTCATTGAATTAGGCACATCAAAATCTATTCTTGGTTTTTTTTCCCGCATTTTTTAGAATAATATTCAAGGAGATATTTCAATTTGAAATGATTCGCCTGTCTAGTCTGGTTGATTTATAAAATAAAAAATAAATACTTATTTCACCTGTTTATTTGATCGATTTATGTGAGAAGATTGATTGCGAAAATTTACCTGAACTAAATTATGTGATGTTGCAAGAGTTTTTTGCCAAAAATACGGATTATTTAAGTGCAGAAATAAGAGGAGTCAAATCCGAGGTCAAAACCTAAAGGTGGGTAGCAGCATTATTATATTACATTTTTAGTAGCAGGGTAACAGTTCTATAGTTTCATATATTTTCAGGTCAGCGAGAGCCAGTTATGATGACAATGCTATTGGCTATGTGCATTAATGTGCAGTTGAAAAGAGACAGCATAATATCCTCTGTTAGGAGCATCGCCAGATGGAATAAGCAAAGAATTTGTGATTGAAGTTTAATGTACTAGCAAAAAGGAGACTGTGAAAAACTACATTAAGGAAAATGGAAATATAATGACGAAATACATGTGCCAACTTCATTCTTCAGTTACAAATGTTATTGTGTAACAGACAAAAAGGACTGTTTTGTGTGGCAAGTGAACGGGGAATAAAAGGGTACTCCAAAGTTGAGATGTATACACACTATTTTATGTACTTTAGAGGGATCAAAAGTACCCTTTCAATTTTTAACCCCTAAAGTGCATATGATAGTGTATACACTTCAGGACTAAAGTGTTTTTTAATCCCTCAACAAATAATAGCCCTCACTTCGGGATTAAAAGTACCACTTTAGTCTCTAGGTGTATAATGTACTATTTTGGCAGTAAAAAAAAGTCGTAGGTATTTTTTTTATACAATATATTCAAAAAAGCATTTTTTTCTAGCTTCGACATAAAATTTATTTGATTAATGGCAAATTCACTATTCCACAAGCAATAATTATTAAATAATCAGTTTTTGCCACAAGCTAATGGTCAATGCAGGAATGTCCTTCGACTATTGTTAATTCTCACAATCTTTGTATTACTCTTTCAATATGGATTCGTAAGCTGGCAATTCTTTTATTCAGCTTCTTCACAAACTCGGATTCTGCCTGAATTAATATGTGGCACCTCTTTTTTCTTCATAAGTAATTTGCAGTTTGTCATCCTAAACTGCATCTAGTTATCACAATCTTGTTCCATCTATAAACATAATATACCTAATGTTCATATTTTTGAAATAACGTAAAACAGAAAATAGGTGTTTATAAAATGAAATTTGGCAACTAAGTTTACTTACATTGAAATGATCTTGGCAGCAATAAATTCCACCAGAAATACTAGACTATACGTTAACTATTTCCACAGCTAAACACCAACTTCTTCTTTTTGTTCATTTTTGGGGACAGCTATAAAGATTTTCTTCGAATTTAGATTACTGTTTTTACACGAAGGAACAAAACATTTACGAAAATTCATAGCCAAATAGTGAACAGTAGGTAGGACTTAGGTGGGTACACTGAAACTGAAATGCATGCTCTATAACATCAAATAATGAGAAACAATGACTTACCTTGAATTTATTACACGTTTCTTTTAAATATTTTTCTTGAAACCTCGGAAAAACCGTTGAAAAACTCAAAAAATAATGAAAATATAACAACGATCAACGACATTCCAAAATAGGGCAATCCAAAGAAAATGGTGGTCAATGCATGGCCAATGCCAAAAAATTGGCGCCATAAATTTAATTCAAGCAATCGTGACATTTTTCATCAAAAATCTGTTTTTTGTGTATTTTGTGGTGCTTTTAGATGATTTTCTGGTGTTTGAGAGGATAATTTTCGTATTCTAAGATGGAAAGTTTTTAGTTTAAGAAATTATTAGTAGAAAAAAGGAATTGGCTTCCATTTTGACACGTCGTTGGATTGCCCTATAACAACAAAACAACATAACCTCCCAAAATTGCATATGTTGATGGATTTGTTTACAACTGCTTTGCGCATGCCCGCCTAGTGACGTCATGGGAGAAAGAGACCAACAATTCGACAAGGACAAAAAATGTTTAAATTTTAAATTAATTTAAATAATCCAGGAAACAATTTTCAATGAAACCAATATGACATGGCCAAGTTTTAGGCCTCACTATATCAAAAAATAATGGTCAGTATAATTTTAATAACAGGAGGTAACGACCCTATTAACGCTAACGTATCTCGACACCCAGCGCGATGTCATCCAACATCCGATCAATGAACTTTTTTTTAGCGAGGCCATCGCGTACCTAATTAAATCGAATGATTTATGGCATTCTTGAACCAATAATGTTTTGACCTCGATAAATCAGGATATTGCGACATAATTATTCGATTTTTTAGACTAAAAATGATAAAAATCTCTAAAAATGATAAAAAACCCAAGGAAATTGCATCATCTTAACACGTTCGCGGACAGTACGGCTAATACCGTCATATTCTTCCCCCTTTCTTGGGACATGACTTCTATAGCAGTCACCCCAATTTTCTTCTATAAACAAATAACGGCTCTAGCCGTCTTAGATCCCATATCGCTACATGTATTTTCAATTTATTAGTCCTGCCACAGTGTCTATTCACCAGGAACGGACTGGGTTCTGAACTTACGGCGGGCGATTTCCTACATGGGGCGCCATCACCAAGAAAAATTTGAAGTAGGTACTTACCTGTAGGGTCACTTGAGCCTGGGAACTTTTTCGATATCGTGGGTACTGGTTTTATGCTGGTTTAGCTGGTTTTGTGCTAGTTTTCACTGGTTTTGTGCTGATTTTTAGCGCTTTTATGTTGGTTTAGCTGCTTTTGTAAAATTTAGCACATAACCTGCTATACCAGCAAACAACAGTAAAAACCAGCAAAATCCAGCAAAAAAAAAAAACAGCTAAACCGGCCTAAAACCAGTAAAAACCAGCACAAAACCAGCAAATTTCGCCGACTTTCTCACGGTACTGAAACAGTTCCCAGGCTCAAGTGACTATTAGCCACTTGCACGGCTATCACTTAAGGGATATTTAATCCAAGTAGAGCTTTAAATGTGACTTTTGTTTCTACAAGGGTCACATTCAAAGCTCCACTTGGATAAAACATCCCTTAAAATATAGCGGTGCAAATGGCCGTGAACCTACTAGTTGAAAGTTAGGCTTATCATATGTTATCGATAAGAATGAATTACCACACCGTTATTTATTTCCCAAGAAAAAAAATCAATATTTTATTGAGGTTTTCGCTAGTCTTATCTACATTATTGAGAATTTCATACATCTGTCAAAACTGGTATCCCAACAATAAATTGACATGTTTTGATTGTTGATTTGAACCAATCAGATTGTAATTAGGCGATAATTTGCACTAGTGCAAATTATCAGATAATAGGGAACAATCATATTTTTCAAATTATTTTTTTTATTATTGCTTATGTTTTCAAACATAAGATGTATATGTTTGTTTTTTGTATTATGTCCTCATTAAAATTTTTAAAAAATATAAATTTCAAATTATTTCCATTGGCGCGAAAACGATTAGTTTCAAGTTGCTGGTACTTGTGACGTCAACTGTTTATAAATACAACGTTAAGGTCTGTTCTCACAAAAGTCACTGACAGTTTCCAAACTGTCAGAAACAATCTCGTACTTTCGACTGCATTGGGAGAGATTATTACGCGGTGTTTCCATAATTAGTAATTAGTGCCTTATTGTGGTTTTGGTTTATAATGGTTGATGAAGGATTTTCAAAAGCGCTATCTAACAATCTGCCTGCTATAGACCCATTTATGGTAGCTACCTATTATAAAGTAGCAATCTTCAGGGTGATGGTTGAGATAAGGTAATTCCTCAAAAATGATTTTTTTTCAAAAATTTTGGTATTAATCGATTTGTTTTTTTATTATCTTTCCAAAAAAGTGAGGATTATTTAAATATTTCAATAAATATTACTTACATTCAAAAAAAAAGTTTCGCATCAATCTCATTACTCTTTGTTACTTGGGATATTTTGAACAACCAATTCTATAATATAGGTGTAATTTTCTTTCCAATTATTTTTTTTTTTTAAATTTTCAACGTTTTATGAATATTATGTGATCATATAAAATGAAATTTTATTGGTTTTTTTCGATTGATTGAGGTTAAAACTTTTAAACTGAAAGAAATTATGCTATTGAACCGTCGCGGCGGAACAATAGGGCAATCCAACGACCTGTCAAATAGTAATTCAAAATGGAGGT